CTCACAGCAACCTCCAACTCCTGGGCTCAAGCGAGTCTCCTGCCTCAGCCTCCCAAGTAGCTGGGACCACAGGCACCCGCCACAACGCCTGGACATTTTTTGGTTGCAGCCATCACAGTTGTTTGGCGGGCCCGGGCTGGGGACTCGAACCCGCCACCCTAGGTGTACGTGGCTGGCGCCTCAGCCGCTCGAGCCACAGGCGCCGAGCCGTGTTATGTTTTTCTTACTGGCCTTCCCTTCCCACTAGATGGGGAGCTTGGAGAGGACACACCCTTGCTTAGAACTTTGTCCTTTCTACCACAATGGAGCGCGCAGCACGCCACTGCACTAGCATGTTTGCTCGGGTCCTCCCGTCATGCTCCGCGGCCTCTTCCTGACCTCTCAGCCCCGGCGCCGGGCGGAACTCTGTGCCTGGCGGAACTTTCGCGCGCCGCAGATGCCTTTCTGGAGGAGGAAATTCGGCATCGGACCCGAGGCTCTACGTAGGCTTTGGTGGCGGTCGCAGCGTATGGCGGTGAGATGTGTGGCAGATACCCTCGGGTGGGGCCTTGGGCTGTTGGCAGCTCCCTGGTGACTTTCGTACTGCCCCCCGCCCCCTTTCTCCAGGCTCTAGGTCATTCTGCTCGGGAGGCTCCGGCGGTCCCAGGCCCGTGTACCGCCCGCGCGCCTTGCAGACCCCGGGTCTCCAGCCAGGCGTCTGGCTCCCAGAATCTTCCCGCTGTCTGTTTCTGCTCAGGGCGACGCACAGGCAGTGACGCCGCCTGCACAGAGCACCCAGTGGGGGGTGAAGGTGACGCATCCTCGAAGAAACAAAAGAAGAAGAAAACCTGGAACAGGGCCTCTGTGGCGAATGGAGGCAGGAAGACCTCAGAAAAGCCTGCCCGGGAGGAAGCCCCCATGAGCGCTGAGGCCCAGGCAAGGGCGAGCTTTAGTTGGGAAGAGTGGAATCCCCGGGTACAATCTGGGTGCGAGTCCACGGGCTGGTGGGATCTGTGTTTTTAAGGCAGGGAGGAGGATGGGATCCAGGTTTGAGGCCTTGCGGGATGGGGCTAGGGATTGTGGGGCTCCCATGTCCTCACAGCCACTTCCCAATCTGTCACAGGCAAAGCAGCTGGCCCAGGAACTGGCCTGGTGCGTGGAGCAGCTAGAGTTGGGCCTCAAGACGCAGAAACCCACCCCGAAACAGAGTAAGGGGCCCTTCTGTATATGGGGGATGTGGACGGTACAGTACCATGGTTTGCAGGTGCTGGCAGTGGATGGAGTAGTTGCCTTTATGGCAGGATGATAGGAAGTGAGTATAGAAGTCACTAGTCTTTTATTCTTATTTCCAGAAGAGCAGGCAATTGGGGCCATCCGAACTCTATGTAGCAAAAGAACACCCCTGCCCCGGAAGAGGCAGTTGATGCACTCCTTGTTTGGGGACTACAGGGCTCAGATGGAAGCAGAGTGGCATGAGGCCCTGCGGTCTCTCAGGTCTGGTGAGTATCTGGGAACCGGTTGATTTAGGAGGGTCTAGTTCAAGGGGGTAAGGGGGCAACACCTGGGGAACAAAAGCAAGAAGGCCTAGCAGGGGTATCTAACCTGAGCCCTGCAGGCTGTGTGTGGATTATGTGAGGACTTTTTTGCTTATTGGTGGTGGCAGATATTACAAAAATTATGCGTGGTTTTTTTTTTTATTTCCCTCATAAGCTTACACAGTGTCTGTGTATTTAATGTGTGGCCCAATGTATTTTTCCACTGTTTGTGCCTTGACTTTCTCTGCTGGCCATGAATCCATATCCCATAGCAGTATGAGCACATTTCTTGGAGCCAGATGACCTGGGTTCAAATTCTGGGTCAACAGCTTAGTAGCATTAACACCTTTGGCAAGTTACCAAATCTTATGTGAGTGTAAATGACAGATAATAATATCTACGTAAAAATTTTGATAAATTAGGTATTTTGTGCAAAGGGGTTACATTAGTATGGGCAATGTTAAGAGGTAATGTTAACTCTTTTTATTCCATTCTGGCACCATCTCCTTTCCTCTCTCTGACAGCTGCTCATTCCGCCCAGGTGCATCCTGTAGATGAAGCCACCAGAAAGAAGAGTCGAAGGGTCTGTAGGCCTCGCCCTGCAGGGAGAATCCAGGCCACTGTGGACACTCCTGATGAAGAGTTCAAGTTCAGTTTCTTTTAGACTCCAGTCTTGGCACAGTTCCCCTCCTGAAGGGTAGTGTGGGATTTGTCTTGAGTGCAGAACTTTTGTAGGAACTCTCTCTTGACAGATGTGAGACTATTCTGTCCCTGGCTGGTCTGAGGATCTGGGGCTACTAGTTAGGTATGGGACTGTCAGATAGGAACAGGACCCCATTTGTAGGATTTCTGATGAAATGCTCTCCCTGGCATGAGAGCACTACATTTAGAAAATATTGTACAATAAATTGAAGTGCATGTTTAGTGTGTTATAGAAAGGGTATTATATTCAGTCTTTAGGTTGGTAGCAAGGATTAGTGGGGAAACTACATGATTGTACGTTGCTCACTTTTGAAAGGATTCCCTATAAAACAGGTTAGTGCTTCATGCTGTTATGGCATATTGCTCTAATCTCTCTTTCTCTCTCTCTTTTTTTTTTTTTTGATAAAAATGGATAATGAGGCTCGGCGCCTGTGGCTCAAGTGGCTAAGGCACCAGCCACATACACTTGAGCTGGCGGGTTCGAATCCAGCCTGGGCCC